GGTGTATTTCTGACTGTGCGATGTCGAGCAATCCCTTCATCCTTACAGAATTGATCAAATTCAGACCAACAGAATTCCAGCCCATTATCAGTTCGCAACCTCTTGATCTTCTTCCCTGTTTGATTTTCCATCAAAATTTTCCACTCCTTGAACTTCTGGAAGGCTTCACTTTTATGCTTCATCATGTACACCCAAGTCATCCTTGAGTAGTCATCAATAATGGACACAAAAAATCTGCAGCCTCCCAAAGACTCAACACGGCATGGACCCCAGCAATCAGAATGGATATAATCAAGTGTGCCTTTTGTTCTATGAATGGCCTTTGGAAACTTGTTGCGATGTAGTTTTCCAAAAACACAATGTTCACAAAACTCTAGGCTCTTAACCTTATGACCAGCAAGTAAATCCTCCTTTGACAGAATTTGCATCCCTCTTTCACCCATATGACCAAGTCTTATGTGCCATAACTTAGTCATATCCTTCTGGTGAAATTCTGACGATGCAACATGGGCTGAACCTGTAACCGTGGAACCTTGTAGAAAATACAAAGTACCACGCATGACACCTTTCAGAATCAAATTTGAACCCTTCCAGACCCGCAAGACTCCATCTTTTCCCGACCAGCTGAATCCCTTGCTGTCCAAAAGACTGAGAGATATCAGATTTTTCGTCATCAATGGAACGTGCCTGACCTCGTTCAATGTGCAGAAGCTACCGTCATGTGTCCTTATCTTGATCGAGCCTGTCCCAACCACCTTGCAGACAGAACTGTTGGCCATCGAGATGCTGCCTCCGTCTACCTGCTCATAAGTCGTGAACCACTCTCTCCTAGGACAGATGTGATAGGATGCCCCAGAATCAAGAACCCACTCATCTGAATGATGAGTGTGCTCATCCGCAACTAGGGCAATATCTTCTTCAGAATTGGTGTCTTCTTCAGCAACAGCAGCAGACACTGATTGTTTTTCCGATTGCTTCTTCTTCTTCGGACAATCAAATTTCCAATGTCCCTTCTCCTTGCAGTAATTACAAACATCATCCGGCTTTGCACCCTTCGACATCGGCTTATTTTTCTTTCCGCCGTTTTTCCTTCCCTTTCTGCTACTGGTGAACAGACCGGAAGGCTGTATGTCCGTACTTGTGCCGTTAGCCTTATGCCGTAATTCCCTGCTATGAAGGGCTGATCTGACTTCTTCCAGTGACACAGTATCTTTCCCAACAATGAACGATTGAACAAAATTCTCAAACGACATTGGGAGAGATACTAACAGAATCAGGGCAGCATCTTCATCCTCGATCTTCACATCGATATTACGCAATTCTAATAACAAAGTATTCAATTGCTCTAAGTGTTCCCTGAGTTGTGTACCTTCAGCCATTCGTAAACCGAATAGACGTTGTTTCAGAAGCAGCTTGTTGGTTAGAGATTTTGTCATGTACAAACTCTCCAGCTTCAACCACAGACCAGCAGCAGTCTCTTCATCCGAGACCTCCGTGATGACGTCATCCGCGAGACACAGCATGATCGTCGAGTGCGCCTTTTCCTCCAGAATCGCCATCTCAGGAGTAACGACGGCGTTCTTGTCTTTCGACAACGGCGCCCAGAAGCCTTGCTGTTTCAACAAGGCCCGCATCTTGATCTGCCATAAACTGAAACTGTTCCTCCCTGTGAATTTGTCGATTTTCACGTTCAAAGCAGACATCTCGAATTCTCCAAGAACACCGATTAACCGAGAGGCTCTGATACCAATTTGTTGTGCGGAATTTGAGATAATACGAGAAAATATAAACGCGAAAAATAAGACAACAGATTTACGTGGTTCACCAACAAATTGGCTACGTCCACGGGAAGAGAGGGAGCAGTTTTATTATGGAGAGGCAAAAACAGAATTACAGAATAGGGTTTCCCATAGCGTCTATATATATTGCTAAGCTACGCCCTAACGGGCTTGGGCCCAACATACAGAATCAACAGAAAATTAAGGGCCCAATACAACAACATTGTATACCGTCGGCCCGGGGGCGTCTCCGCCCCCCCGGACCCCCAGGCCAGGGGGCGCGTCGCCCCCCTGGACCCCCCGACTCGCTGACCGGGCAGCGAGACCCCCGTCCTTTCTGTTTGTAGCGGGTCCGATTCAAGGCATTCAACAATATATATATATATATATATATATATATATATATATATATATATATATTAAATTTATGTGTTTATGAGGAAAAAAATACCATGTAAGAAATTCAAATTGCATAAATCATGGAAAAGTCTTCCAATCCATATTTTGTCAATCAATCATCCTATAAAAGTCCACAAATTTGACTAATTGGGACAAACACTTTTGTTAGTTGTGGAAAATCCATCAAATGTATACCCCATGTTGTCGTTGATATATATATATATATATATATATATATATAATTGATTGACAAAATATGGATTGGAAGACTTTTCCATGATTTTGGCAGTGAGAATGCAATTTGAATTTCTTACATGGTATTTTTTTCCTCATAAACACAAAAATTTAATAAGTTGTGAAAACTATCCGACTTTCATCAATTCTTATATAATCTTATCAAATGAGCAAATCAAATTCCATAAATAAGATATTGAATATTCTTATATTGAATATTCTAAGGTGTAACATTAATAAATCACATATCTCCATATTCTTTAATAAATAAATACACATAATTTTATAAAGATTCACTAGTCAACAATAGTAGTACTTAGTTATTATTTAATACCCTTCACAATGGTACAAACAATTTCTTCATGACAAGCATGACATTTTTTTTGAATAATTTAAAATGGTTGGTCTTTTTTCTTATACAATATATAATTTAATGGGTTCAGTTTCATATTTTTTTTTAAAAATAAATTGAAAGCACAATTTGGAATGACATAATACATATATTTGACCATAAATTTGGCTTCAAATTTTAACTTTGACCTTCAACTTTCATAATACACAAGCAGACACTTTAATTATCCAACTTTTATATAAATAAACACATGAGTCCTACATGACATAATACACGTAAGACACCCCATATGACAAAAAATGATACGTTATGACATGTAGGACATGTGTGTCTATTTGTTCAACTTTATACAAGTTTAAGTGTCTACTTGTGCACACCCAAAATTGAAGGACATAAATGTGATTCGAAACCCATTTAAAGGACATATTTATGTATTATGTCATTTGGAATTCGAAATCATTGTTTTTGAAGAATTTAGGATTTGATTTCAAATCATGATCCTTCAAATACTGATTTGGAATCATGACTACATATCTCATGATTTGCGCCCTGAAAGTAGGGGTGACAATTTCATCTCATATTAATAAAAGGTACATAAATGTGACATTTAACTTGACTTCAAATCACATTTATGCCCTTCAATTTTGGATGTGCACAAATTGACACTTAAACTATATAAAGTTGAACAAATAGACACATGTCCTGCATTTCACATGTCATTTTTTGTCCTACGTGGTGTCTCATGTGTTTATTTATTTAAAAGTTGGATAGTTAAAGTGTCTGTGCATTATGAAAGTTGAAGGTCAAAGTTAAAATTTAAAGCAAAGTTTAGGGTCAAATATATGTATTATACCTTGATAAAATGAATCCATTTTGATCATATTTAATGGCTTCGATCACTCATATTTTAATTGGTTAAATATGAGTTTCAAACTATTTTAAGAGTCTCTACAAATATGGTCAAAATTGATTAAATATGGATATTCATATTTGACCCATAATAGATCACTTATTTTCACTTTCACTTTCACACAATATAATAATTGTGCTAAAAAATAAAAAATTTAATATTAGTTTTTCAGAAACAAATATTTTTAAAAATTTAATTTGAGAGTAGATTGATGGAAGTGTGGGGGAGGTAGGGGGTAAAAAAGAATTTCTTTTTTGAAAAAACAGTTGTTTCTTTTTGTTTTGAAAAACAAAAAAAATTTAGGAGTAGGTTGTTGGAAGATGGGGGAGGGGGGTCTAGGGGGTGCGGTGGGGTGGGGGTGGGGGGCGCCCAAGGGGTGGGGGTTCCCCAGGGAGGGGGTAATTGCTTTTTTTTTTTTTTGAAAAACAATTTTTTAAAAATAGGTTGAAACCATTTCACCAAACATATTTGACCAAATCCATATTTGCCCATATTTTATTTGGATGGATTATAATCCAAACTATTTTTGCTCAATTCATATTCAATCCATTCAAATCCGATCTGATCCAACCATTTGTCACCCTACCTAAAAGAACTTATGTCCCACTAAAAATAAACTCGATTGCGGAGGAAAAAAATAAATAAAAATCAACCCATTTGAAGAAAAAAAAGTACAATTAAAGGAAGTCAGTATTGTCCTCCACCAAAATGTTAAACAAGAAAAATAGGAGATTTGAGATGGAGCAAAAACCATATCAAAAACTAAAAAACTTTGATAACATTAACCAAACTGCAGTTAATGTTTGAATTCGAACAATGACTTCCGCGATCTCACAACAATTTAGTATATTGATCATTCAAATGATGTATCTCGATCAACGTACAACACCAATGTCGTAAAATATCATCTTAAAGTTTGCGCATAAGCAGAGGAGCGCCATACTGAGGATGAATAGTCACTACTGCAAATGGAGCATGTGTATATGATGGTGAGAGTTCGAAAGAGAACTTCTGTAGTATCATTGCTATCGCCGTCTTTGCTTCCATCATTGCAAAGTTTTGCCCGATGCAAATTCGAGGTCCCCAGCCAAATGGAATAAACGAAACTTGTCCTTTTGTTGCCTTTGACACTCCTTCACTGAATCGTTCTGGTTTGAATTCCTTCGCGTCTTCACCCCATAATTCCTTGTTATAATGTACTAGGATTGCGGGTATAATGAGTTGCACTCCGGCTGGTAAATTGAGCTCCCCCAATTTCACTTCCTCTTCAGACCTTCTACCAAATGATGGCAATGGAGGGAATAGCCTTAACGTCTCGTACAAGATCATCATTACCTAAAAAAAAAAAAAAAAAACCGCTGCAAGTCAATTTCAACACTTAATCTTTCATATTGGATTCGAGTAATATGCCCAATAAGTCATCTTTACTAGTATACCCTCCTTCGATTGCTCTCAATCTTTTGTCAATGATACGCCTAATTGTCGTTTGTATTTCCTTTTCGATTTTCAGCATTCTTTTGTTCATTTTTGTAGGCAAGAACCTATATAAACAAACTTACTCAAATTAAAAGAAACATCTATAGTAAAAAAAATGTTAAGGATCAGATGTTTCATATTGAATTACAGAGAGATTTTGCAAGCAGAAAAGAAAGTATCGAACGTGGAAATGTGATGTACATAAATAGTTGTACCTTGATCCTGGTATATGAATTGAACGCGCTATTCTGATCACATACTCACCTTGTTCGCTCTGAAGTTCAAATACTGTTCTTCCTTCTTCATAGCTACTCCCAAATGATGTACGAGATATGACTTCACTAGTCATTATTTGAAGGTCTGGCCATACATCGAGTTCGAATGATGTTCCCTTTAGAACAATTTCTTCTCATTTGCTTAGCATTTTACTACAACTCACATAAAATGCTGGCAGCATATGCTGTAAACAAAAGAAAAAACGAACAACTATAAATGGATTTCTTAATGTTTAAGGCATCTCAATAAACAATACTAAGTCGCGTGGAAATTTACCATTTTTTCTAAATTCTAAATTCGGTTCTCCCTATTATTCAATTAGTTGTCTTACTTCCGTTCTAAGTCAGTTTAAAAAGAACGCTACTTTCTATATATAGTAATTCTTTAATTCTGATATCTCACGTGGCAGGTTTCAGACTACAAGATTTAAAGCATATTCCGGTACAATATACACATATTTAGTTTAAGACTACAAGAATCAAAAGTCTTAATTTCTTTAATCACGTCTCTAAACAATCAAACTACAACAACAATAACTCACCCACTGTGCAATTCCTACCAGGGTGGTGGGTCAGAGCGGATTCCCTTGCTTTAGGGCAGGAATAGCGGAATGGCAGGATAATGTATACACAGAAACTTACACCTACCTAGCGAAGGTTGAGAGGTTGTTTCAAAAGACGTGATTTTCCTTCCCTGGAACTTGGAAACCATCCGGCTGAGTCATGTATATCTCTTCCTCCAACTCTCCATGTAGAAACGTTGTCTTCACATCAAGTTGTTCAAGCTCCAGATTCTGATGTGTAACTATCGCTAGTAACACTCGGATGGAAGTATGTCTGACCACTTGTGAGAAGATATCATTGTAGTCCACTCCCTCTCTTTGGTTGAAACCTCTGGCAACAACCCTGGCTTTATACTTGACTCCTTCTGCTGGTGATATCCCTTCCTTCTTCTTGAAAACCCATTTGCAAGTAATAATCTTTCTCCCCGAAGGCTGTATGAGCAGATCCCATGTCTGATTCTTGTATAGGGACTCCATCTCATCTCCCATAGCAGCAAACCATTTTTCAGAATCAGGACTTAAAATGGCTTCTTTGTGAGTAGACGGCTCAGATGTATCTACCTCTTCAGCAACCTGCAGTGCATAACCCACCATGTCCTCAAAACCATACCTCGTAGGTGGCCGAACTCCAACCCTCCTTGGCCGATCTTGAGCTATATTCCGATGGATATCTGATGGCATAGATTCTAGAATATCAGTTTCTGTCTGTGGCTCTTGATCCTCCTCTTCAGGTTCTTTCAAATCGCTCTCGTTCTGAATGACTTGAAACTCCACCTGTTTATCAAGACTCCCAGTTTCTGACGTAGTTGTAGGCTTCACAATGGTTCTAAGCAGAGAAATTTCATCAAAGACAACGTTCCTGCTCATAATAACCCTCTTTTCTGCTGGAGACCAGATTCTGAAACCTTTCACTCCATCTCCGTAGCCCACAAATACTCCCTTTTTAGCTCTTGGTTCTAACTTACCTTCACTGACGTGATAGTAAGCCGTACAACCAAAAGCTTTCAGATTTGAATAATCAGCAGCTTTTCTTGACCACATCTCCATAGGTGTCTTGCACTGTATGCCTGTGTGTGGTCCGCGGTTAATCAAGTAGCAAGTTGTACTAACCGCTTCTGCCCAAAATCTTCTATCTAGCCCAGCATTAGAGAGCATGCACCTTGCTCTCTCCAGAAGTGTTTGATTCATCCGCTCAGCTACACCGTTCTGCTGTGGTGTATTTCTGACTGTACGATGTCGAGCAATCCCTTCATCCTTACAGAATTGATCAAATTCAGACCAGCAGAATTCCAGCCCATTATCAGTTCGCAACCTCTTGATCTTCTTCCCTGTTTAATTTTCCATCAAAATTTTCCACTCCTTGAACTTCTGGAAAGCTTCACTTTTATGCTTCATCATGTACACCCAAGTCATCCTTGAGTAGTCATCAATAATGGACACAAAAAATCTGCAGCCTCCCAAAGACTCAACACGGCATGGACCCCAACAATCAGAATGGATATAATCAAGTGTGCCTTTTGTTCTGTGAATGGCCTTTGGAAACTTGTTGCGATATAGTTTTCCAAAAACACAATGTTCACAAAACTCTAGGCTCTTAACCTTATGACCAGCAAGAAGATCCTCCTTTGACAGAATTTGGATCCCTCTTTCACCCATATGACCAAGTCTCATGTGCCATAACTTAGTCATATCCTTCTGGTGAACTTCTGACGATGCAACATGGGTTGAACCTGTAACCGTGGAACCTTGTAGAAAATACAAAGTACCACGCATGACACCTTTCAGAATCAGATTTGAACCCTTCCAGACCCGCAAGACTCCATCTTTTCCCGACCAGCTGAATCCCTTGCTGTCTAAAAGACTGAGAGATATCAGATTTTTCGTCATCAATGGAACGTGCCTGACCTCGTTCAATGTGCAGAAGCTACCGTCATGTGTCCTTATTTTGATCGAGCCTGTCCCAACCACCTTGCAGACAGAACTATTGGCCATTGAGATGCTGCCTCCGTCTATCTGCTCATAAGTCATGAACCACTCTCTCCTAGGACAGATGTGATAGGATGCCCCAGAATCGAGAACCCACACATCTGAATGATGAGTGTGCTCATCCGCAACTAGGGCAATGTTTTCTTCAGAATTGGTGCCTTCTTCAACAACATCAGCAGACACTGATTGTTTTTCTGATTGCTTCTTCTTCTTCGGACAATCCAATTTCCAATGTCCCTTCTCCTTGCAGTAATTACAAACATCATCCGGCTTTGCACCCTTCGACATCAGCTTATTTTTCTTTCCACCGTTTTTCCTTCCCTTTCCGCTACTGGTGAACAGACCGGAAGGCTGTATGTCCGTACTTGTGCCGTTAGCGTTATGCCGTAATTGCCTGCTATAAAGGGTCGATCTGACTTCTTTCAGCGACACAGTATCTTTCCCAACAATGAATGATTGAACAAAATTCTCAAACGACATTGGGAGAGATACTAACAGAATCAGGACAACATCTTCATCCTCGATCTTCACATCGATATTACGCAATTCTAATAACAAAGTATTCAATTGCTCTAAATGTTCCCTGAGTTGTGTACCTTCAGCCATTCGTAAACCGAATAGACGTTGTTTCAGAATCAGCTTGTTGGTTAGAGATTTTGTCATGTACAAACTCTCCAGCTTCAACCACGACCAGCAGCAGTCTCTTCATTCGAGACCTTCGTGATGACGTCATCCGCGAGACACAGCATGATCGTCGAGTGTGCCTTTTCCTCCAGAATCGCCATCTCAGGAGTAACGACGTCGTTCTTGTTTTTCGACAACGGCGCCCAGAAGCCTTGCTGTTTCAACAAAGCCCGCATCTTGATCTGCCATAAACTGAAACTGTTCCTCCCTGTGAATTTGTCGATTTTCACGTTCAAAGCAAACATCTCGAAATTCTCCAAGAACACCGATTAACCGAGAGGCTCTGATACCAATTTGTTGTGCGGAATTTGATATAATACGAGAAAATATAAACGCAAAAAACAAGACAACAGATTTACATGGTTCACCAATAAATTGGCTACGTCCACGGGAAGAGGGGGAGCAGTTTTATTATGGAGAGGCAAAAGACAGAATTACAGAATAGGGTTTGCCATAGCGTCTATATATAGTGCTAAGCTACGCCCTAACAGGCTTGGGCCCAAAATACATAATTGACAGATAATTAAGGCCCAATTCAAGGCATTCAACAGGATTGATGATTTTTCTGTGTTTGGCCCATTTGTCTCCCTCAACATTTGCTAGACCATAAGCCAATAACTTGGTCATTGGATTGGGATGATTTTGCTTTAGATACACATAATTCTTTGTGAAAATCTCCTTTACATGTTCAGGATCTGTGACCAACACTACTGGATATGTGCCTAGCCACATAAAAGAATTTTTACCTGCGAGTAATTAATTTAATTTTTGGTTAGAAAAATTAAAAAAAAAAACTTGAGTTTTTGCTACTTTCTCTACCTCAATTTATGTGTCGCACCTTTCGTTTAATCAGTTCAAAAAATAATGATACATTTCATTATTTGAGAAATAGTTAATAACTCTATCAACATTTTATCCACGTTGGATCACACTTATTTGGCAAAAAACCCACAAAAGATGTTCGACATTTCTTAAATTTTATATCTAGTCAAACTACACCACACAAATTAGAACAAAGGGGAGTATGATTTATTGCATTTTCCATAAATAAATTTCAACAACAAAATCACTAATGAAAGCAAATAAAAAAAGGCATATTACATTTCTTCAGCTTGACTTCAACTGACATCTATGTCCTTCAACTTTGGGTGTGTACAAGTAAACTTGTATAAAATTAACAATAGACACATTCATCTTACGTGGCATCCTACATGACAATTTTGTGTCATACATGGTGTCCTATGTGTGTTATACCACGTAGGACGTGTGCGCTTATTTGTTTAATTTTATACAAGTTTAGGTGTCTCAGTATGCACACCCAAAGTTGAACGACATAGAAACATACCATGCATGTTTAAGTGTCTCGTCCTGCATGACAATTTTGTGTCATTCAGCTGAATTCGTTCATCCATTTTACCAAACAGTTGATACACATTACTAAACACAGAAACATACCATTTTTGTTGATGGAATCAAGGAAAAAGGGGATGAGCCTTTGAGCTATATCGTCGGAGAAATTGATCAGCTTAGATTTGGCTTCAATGACACTTTCTTTGAATTCCTTCAAATCTTCATAGAGAAATTTGTATGGATTTCCCTTAAGACCACTCTTTCTCAAGTATTTCTCACTTTGGCTTAAACCATGCCCAATTCAACACTTTCCATATGTATACCAACAAAATTGCAACACAAATTGTTGTTATCATGCTTCTCATCATCTCCATTTTAACAAGTAACAACTCTACGAAAAAGAATTTTAAATCTCATGACCTGCTTCCTCTCAATTAACCTCATATGATTTATATACATAAAATTTCACTAAAATTTCGAATGATGGTACACACTATACTATATAGTACTATAAATAGTAAGTAAATGAATGAAAGTCAAATGCAAGTAGTTATAGAACTATGTGTGTGACTTTCATTTATTTTCTTACTAATTATAGCACTATGTAGTAGTGAATTAAACATTCAATTTCTTATTTTAGACACTTTTGTTGAAAAATACCAATTGAAGTGGTAACATTAGAAT